TTAATTATAGTGTTTTGGAAAGCTCTCGAGATGAGCTGTAAGAATGTGCAATGAGAAATAAGGAGTTCCATTTAAAAAATTAAAGGTGACCTTCACGTGACCTTCAGAGGACTATTCAAGGTCAAATCGATGGCACCATCTTATGTCCCCCTTCGAGTCAAACAACTTTTGTCTGAAACATTTTTGTCTACTGAGTTTAGTTTTCGAGATATTTGGCTGGATCATTTAAAATGGGACACCCTGTATATTGTGTACTAAGTGTTTGATAAGTAATGACAAAACTCTCACATAGGAGTAGAGCGAACTAAACTGAGTCGAAAAGTCCTCTATCATTTTGCAATTTTCTCAATAGTTAACAAGATATTAATTACTAAAAATCGCCGAATATTGGTTTTCAATAATTTTTTACTCAAGTATTATCAACTTTATAGAAAAACAGCAAGAAACAAAAGTTTATTTTCTTCTCATAGAGCTCTAAGAATTTTTTCAGAATTTTTAATCAATTTTTTAGTACTGCATTTTCTTATTGGCAACTATTTTTACCAACATGAGAAAATGCGGTACTAAAAAATTCTGAAAAAATTCTCAAAACTCTATGAGAAGAAAATAAATTTTTGTTACTTGCTGATTTTTGTAACGTTGATAGTATTCGAGTAAAAAAATTATTGAAAACCAATATTCGGCGATTTTTAGTAATTAAAATCTTATTAACTATTGCGAAAATTGTAAAATGATATGCGAAAGTTTTATTGTTACTTATCAAATGCCCCTATATAGGCTATTACACACACACACACACACACACACACACACACACACACACACACACACAAAATAAACTATTACAAGATATATATAAGCTATTACAAGATAAAAATAAATAAAAAACCCTTTTGAATAAAACAATATAAAAAGATCTTTTATACAAAGAAATCTTTTTCTTTTTATAGAAAAAAAGATTATTTTTAAATCAACCATAATATGCTCATATCTAAGCAAAAATATTGTAACCATGCTTAAAAAATTTTAGTCTTGATTTGATTGAATTTGTATTGATGTAATAATTTTGATTAAGCAAGTCTTGAATTGAGGAAAGTAATAATTGCATTAACACATAATCAACCAAAGTTATACGTAGGATATATTTAAATATTTCAATATGTGTAATGTTAAAATACCCGCAGGGGGGCTAATAGATTGCTCTAAAAATAAAAAAGTAGTGGCATTAGTAGTAGTAGTAATAGTAGTAGTAATAGTAGTGGTAGTAATAGTAGTGATAGTGGCAGTAATGGTAGTGGTAGTGATGGTGGTAGTGGTGGTAGTGGTAGTGGTAGTGGTAGTGGTTGTAGTGGTAGTGGTTGTAGTGGTGGTGGTAGTGGTAGTGGTAGTAGTGGTGGTGGTAGTGGTAGTGGTAGTAGTGGTGGTGGTAGTGGTAGTGGTAGTGGTGATGGTAGTGGTAGTGATAGTGATGGTGGTAGTGGTAGTGGTAGTGGTAGTGGTAATAGTAGTGGAAGTAGTAGTGGTAGTAGTAGTAGTAGTGGTAGTAGTAGTAATAGTAGTAGTGGTAGTGGTAGTGGTAATAGTAGTGGTAGTAGTAGTAGTGGTAGTAATAGCAGTAGTAAAAGAATAGTATAGGCCTGTTTACAAAAAATACAGTAGTAAGCTTAGTTTAAGAAGTAAGAGTAAGAAATAAAATTAATTTATTTCGCTTACGTCTACATCTACACCTACTCTATACTCCTACATCTATTCTTACTCCTTAAACCAGCCTTAAAAATTAAAGAGAAAAGAAATGTAGAGACGTTTTTACGAAATATAAAGACGTTTGAATGTGGCAGCAAGAACAATTGATGAAAAACGACGCAAGAAACATGGTTGGGCTTCTTGGAAAATCTATCCAGGCATAGCGTAGAATAAAAGAGGCAGGTTTGTCGCGAATGCAGCTGGAAAGCTGCATTTGCTGTTTTTGCGAGATATCTTAACGTCTTTCCTTTTAATGTTTTTTTCTCCTGTTATATTTCTTACTCTTCTATTCGCTTCTCACGTCAACAGCAAATTATCGAGGATAAAGTTATTCGAGAAAATGTGTACTTTGCGTGAAAAATAAACTTCAAGTAAGAACATTTTTTTAATGTATAAGTAATGAATGGTCCAAAGATAAAAAAGTTTGGTACATGTTGTAATACAACTCTAAATTCTATCCTCATGCATATATGCCAATCATCAGTGTACCAACTATCAGCATCTGTGCATAAACGTTGAGTATGCATGGAGCCTTGCATAAAATGAAATCAGAACTGATTGCCCATATAGCACACAACGTTAACAAAGCGCTAAAAAAGCTCATGATATAATTGATTTGAAAGCACTGCTGTGTTACTTGGGTGATAAAGTCTGCAGAGTAGAAATGATCAGTTCGAATCTATCTACCTGCTTGCCGGTCACAAAATACAATGTTTCATGGACGTTTCGCGCTGTTCTAAAAGTCTGTTTCATTCGGTGACGTCGGATAGCCAGACTCGAGGATTCGATAAGTCTAGACTGTCGGCAGACATGGCAAAACGATATATTCATTTGTTTCGTTCGCTGACTGCAGTCAGCGAATACTTTTACAACGGATGCTACTTCTAACGGAAAGACTCACCATGAGAAGAGAAAGAAAACTAATAGAGTGAAAAGTATTTACTAGAAATTTACAGATTATTTTTTGATGTACATATAGCAAGGATGAAGACAAATTATTGATACACTTTCGTCGACATGCTTCCATTCTAAAATTATGATGGGTTTGTGGTTTCGTCTCACTTTTTTGTAGTTTTGATTGTCCTATCTATTGGCCTAGATGTAGGTAAAGGTTAAAAAAAAAACATGGATTTCAAACACAAGAATACATATATATTCGATATTCTTTTTTATAGATTGTATAAAATTCTATAGATAAATTCTATAGATAAATTCTATAGATAAATTCTATAGATGAATATACAGCTATTACAACATTCACATACGCATGGCATATGCACATATGCGAAAGTTAGTTCAAAAGTAAATTTTCCTACTTTAGAAAAAAGTGAAAAACAAAATTTAAAAATCTAAAAAAATTTTTTTAACTTAATCACACTTTGGTTATTTTAAAAAAAAATCAACATTATTTCTGGAAAAACTTTTTTTAAGACACAATAAATGCATAGGAAAAAATGACGAATTTATATTATACAAAAATAACCAAAGTGTAATGAGTTAAAATAAATTTTTTCAGATTTCTAAACTTTGTCTTTCTGTTTTTCTTAAAATAAAGAAACTTACTTTTGGACTAACCTTTGTATAATACATACGTGCACACGTAAATTTTATGATTGTTGCTCACCGATTTTTTCTTCTAGACTTGTTTTGATTCTTGTAGTCAGACCAGATTATACACGCATTCTTACTTATATACGCAGCTTAATGCGAATGTGGAAGATGTGAATAAACACGGATAAATCCATCGAATTTGTATCCATATTCTTGAGGAACAACCTCAAGAGAATTTCTTGTAATTCTTTCAAGTAATTCCTAATAAATCCTAGAGGAAGAATGGAAGGAGGGATAAAAACAATGAAAAAGCATGTTATGACATGTTGAAGAAGATAAGCTGTTATTATCATTATTTACTTGCTTCTCTGTGCGCACGCGCACACGCACACACGCGCACGCACACGTAACTGTATATACATTATTCATGTTAAGAGCAAATCTTCCAAGTTGTTTGAATATTGGATTCAATGTTAATTCAAAATTAATATTAGACGTCCTCTCTATTTCTCTCTGGTAGTATAACAATGTTTTTTCATAATTACAATTTGATTCCTTATGTCAAGGACAGAATTGATTAGCACAGTCTTTTATTGATACGCAATGTTCAACAATAAATGATGGCATATCATCAAACGACATATATTGTTCTCTTTATTGTTTTGATGCAATTATTGAGAATTGCAATTAATTTTATCCGCGCAAAACTATTATATTTATCAATAAATAAAAGAAGAGCAACGAGCCAATTATAATATAAGATCTTTAATCAACGTGATATACAATATTCAAACGTTTCGACACCGATCGGGTCATTTTCAATGTAAAATAACAAACACTCTTACGTACATTATCAGAAATTCGGTTAAATTATATTGTCCAGTGAGAATTTGGTTATATTCATAAAATGTGGTCCATATGTAAAACTATCAAAGAGATCAAATCTCACTTTTCGATATGTGGATGATATTATCTTAGCGGCTCCATCTGAAAGTATTAATGACATCTTAAACATTTTTAATTCTTTACATAGTAGATTACAATTCACTATGGAGGTTGGCATAGATGGAAAACTAAGCTTCTTAGATACTATGTTGATTGTGGAAGATCAAGCTCTAGTTTTTGACTTATATCGCAAAGCGACGTTTTCTGGCAGGTTCCTAAATTTTATTTCACACCATCCACTTTGTCATAAAAGGGGGGTTATTTACAGTTTGGTTGATAAAATTATACGGTTGTGTCATCCACGTTTCCA